AAAATGTGGAAGCAACTTTGGAATTGGGTAACAGGCAGAGGTTGGAACAGTTTAGAAGGCTCAGAAGAAGATAGGAACATGTGAAAAAAGTTTGGAACTTCCTAGAGACTTGTTGAGTGGCTTTGATCAAAATGCTGATAGTGATATGGACAATAAAGTCCAGGCTGAGATGGTCTCAGATGGAGATGAGGAACTTGTTGGGAACTGGAGCAAAGGTGACTCTTGTTATGCTTTAGCAAAGAGACTGGTGGCATTTTGCCCCTACCCTAAAGGTTTGCAGGGAACTTTCAACTTGAGAGATATGGTTTGGGTATCTGGCAGAAGACATTTCTAAGTAGCAAAAAATTCAAGAGGAAGCAGAACATAGAAGTTTGGAAAATGTGTAGCCTGATGATGCAATAGGAAGGAAAAAGACTATTTTCTTGGGAGAAATTCAAGCTGGCTGCTGAAATTTGCATAAGTAACTAAGAGCAACATGTTAATCACGAAGACATGGAGAAAATATCTCCAAGGCATGTTAGAGACCTTCACTACAGCCCCTCCCATGTCAGGCCCAGAGACCTGGGAACAGAAAATGGTTTAATGGGCCAGGCCCAGGGCCCCCTGCTGTGTACAGCCTAGGGACATGGTGCCCTGCATCCCAGCTGCTCCAGCTGTGGATAAAAGAGGCCAAGGTACAGCTCAGGCTGTGGCTTCAGAGGGTGCAAGCGCCAAGCCTTGGCAGCGTCCACGTGAGATGAGCCTGTGGGTATAAAGAAGTCAAAAATTGAGGTTTGGGAACCTCCACCTAGATTTTAGGGGATGTATGGAAACCCTTGACTGTCCAGGCATAAGTTTGCTGCAGAAGCTGGGCTCCCATGGAGAACCTCTGCTAGGGCAGTACAGTAGGGAAATGTGAGCTCAGAGTTCCCACACAGAGCCCCCACTGGGGCACTGCCTGTTGGAGCTGTGAGAAGAGGGTCACCGTCCTCCATACCCCAGAATGGTAGATCTGTCAACAACTTGCACTCTGTACCTGGAAAAGCCACAGACACTAAATGCCAGCCATGAACGCTGCCAGGAGGGGGCCTGTACCCTGCAAAGCCACAGGGGTGGAGCTGCCCGAGACCATGGGAACCCACTTCTTACATCAGTATGACCTAGATGTAAGACATAGAGTCAAAAGAGATCATTATGGAGATTTAAGATTTGACTACCCTGCTGGATTTTTGACTTGCATGGGGCAAGTTCTCCCATTTGGAATGGGTGTATTTACCCAGTGCTTATATCCCCATTGTATCTAGGAAGTAACTAACTTGCTTTTGATTTTTCAGGCTTATAGCCTTGCCTTGGATGAAACTTTGGACTGTAGACTTTTGAGTTAATGCTGAAATGAGTTAAGACTTTGGGGACTGTTGGGTAGGAATGATTGGTTTTGAAATGTGAGGACATGAGATTTGGGAGGGGCCAGGAGTAGAATTATGTGGTTTGGCTGTGTCCCCATCCAAATGTCATTCTTGAATTGTAGCTACCATAATCCCCACATGTCATGGAAGGGACCCAGTTAGAGGTAAGTGAATCATGGGGGCAGGTTTTTTCTATGCTGTTCTCATGGCAGTGAATAAGTCTCACACAATCTGATGATTTTGTAAAGGGCAGTTCCCCTGCATATGCTCTCTTGCCTGCCACCATGTAAGACATACCTTTGCTTCTCCTTTGCCTTCCACCATGATTGTGAGGCCTTCTCAGCCATGTGGAACTGTGAGTCCATTAAACCTCTTTTTTTCTGTATAAATTACCCAGTCCTGGGCAGTTCTTTGTAGCAGTGTGAGAATGGAGTAATACACATGCTTATCCTCTACCTATTTGTCTTTCCATTGTGTTTGTCTCTGTGTACAGTTTTTCTCTTTTTACAAGGACAAAAGTCATACTGAATTAGAGCCCATCCTAATAAGCTAATTTTAACTCTATTATCTGTGTAAAAATCCTATTGCCAAATAAGGTCACATTGTAAGGCACTAGGGATTAGGACTTCAACATACTATTTTTCAAGGACACGATTTAATCTATAACAACTCCTATCCTACTCTTCACTCTCAGCTGACAACCTCTTCTAATCTATCTAGTTATTGACACTACATTGTATTTTGGTGCTCCAACTGAAAAATTTATGTATGCATGTCTCAGGGGATGAGTTGACATTCTTTTCCTATGGTTGGAAAATCTATGGTTAAAGAACTTGAGATCTTATTGTCAGGGGATTAAAGTGTTAATGGGAAATAAAGAATATGAAACTAAGTATCAGTGGCCCTCTGCATGTCTTAAATTAATTTTCATTTTGTATTACATGCTTGCTAGAAACTTTCAGGATTTTTATTCTTTCAAGTTCCAATGAAATGCTTGTGTATTTATAAATGTAATTAGGCCAGGTGCGGTGGCTCACACCTGTCATCCCAGCACTTCAGGAAATTGAGACTGTCAGATCATGAGGTCAGGAGTTCAAGACCAGCCTGGCCAACATGGTGAAACCTTGTCTCTACTAAAAAATAAAAAAATTAGCCAGACATAGTGGCAGGCACCTGTAATCCTAGCTACTTGGGAGGCTGAGGCAGGAAAATCGCTTGAACCCAGGAGGTGGAGGTTGCAGTGAGCCAAGATCATGCCACTGCCCTCCAGCCTGGGCAACAGAGTGAGACTCTATCTCAGAAAAACAAACAAAAAACAATTAATTCAGTTGTAAATAGTGTGTATACTAACACATGTCCTATGAGTTATCTTCTTACCCACACTGCTCCAACTTTTTTGTCTTTGTTTCTTAACACACTATTGAGGTTTCAGCTGAAATTCTCAGAGAATTGTCCATTGGCTATCCAATCTAAAATAATCATAGATTTATTTTCAACTGGGTGACCCTTTAAAAAAAATCTGTATCAGATTTTTATAAAATTGTCTTATTTATTTGCTGACTTCTTTCACTACAAAGTTGGCTCCATGAGAACTTTATCGACCTTGCTCATCATTATAGCCACAGTATTTAAGTCTAACTCAAAATATACCCTGTGTGTGTGTGTGTGTGTGTGTGTGTGTGTGTGTGTGTGTACGCACGCATGCATATAGAATGACTGAATAAATGATTTTCTTGCTTTGGTCTTGCAGTTCTAGACAGATGCAGAGTAGTATAGATGCATGAGGTAGATCAAGTTTTGCATAACCTTTATTTTGCTATGGGAAGCTGAACAGATGTTTTTCAAACTGACTCCCCAATATACAGGGTTATAAAGTTTAAGTTTCACTCACAATTATCTTAAGCTAGTGAACCTCACACAGTTCTTACATGGCTTTATTGCTCTGTCCCTCCAAAGACTTGGAATATAGTTGAATTCTGACACATGCTGTAACTCATTTAATAAAATAGCCATTCATGTTGTTAAAATCTCCATGTAAAATACAAATAGCATGTTTCTTAATGTAATAAAAACACTGATCTGAAATCAATAGCTAGATAGTAAAGGCATTCCTGTTTAAGTCAGGAATAAGACAAGGAAGTTGGCTATAAACACTATTATTAGACATGAATCTGGAAGTGTCATTTTATTATCAGTCAAGATAATAAATATTGCAAAGAAGGAAGCAAAATATATATAATAAGGTTATGTAATTATTAAAATGAATAAATAAGCTGAAAAGAAAGTTTGGTGCACTAGTCAGTTAAAATTTAACAGAAAAGATAAATCGCTATCTTACATGGTAACAATAACCGTTAGAAACAGAATGGATGAAATCTATTTTATGCAAAGTTTGCATAAAAACTAGGTAAAAGAAAAAAGTTTGCATAAAAACTAGGTAAAAGAAATGAATAAATTTAATGAAATTTCCATGAAAATTCTGGTTTTTTTGAACTTGGAAAGTCTTCTAAAGTTATATGGAGAAATAAATAGTTAAGTATAGCTAGAAAATTCTGAGAAAGTAAAAGTAACAAAGAGGGACTTGCCATATAAGATAGGAAAATGTAATATAAACTCCAATAAAAAAGGGGAATGATTATGCTTCTGGAATTGCTGAACTGATCAATGAACTAGATAAAGACCAGAAATAGATCCAAGTGTTTGTAAGAATTTAATATATGGTATACATGTTTGGACAAGTATTGATTATTCAATGAATTGATAAGTTGGTTTTTTAATTTTTATTTTTTAGACATAGTCTTACTCTTTTGCCCAGGCTGGAGTACAATGGCATGATCTTGGCTTACTGCAACCTCGACCTCCAAGGTTCAAGCGATTCTCGTGCCTCTGTCTCCTAAGTAGCTGGGATTATAGGCATGCGTTACCACACCCAGCTAATTTGTTTTTTTTCTAATGTTTTTGTATTTTTAGTAGAGATGGGGGTTTCACCATGTTGTCCAGCCTGGTCTCAAACTCTTGTCCTTAAGTATTCTGCCTGTCTTGGCCTCCCAAAGTGCTGGATTACAGGTATGAGCCCCTGAGTGCGGTCTTTGATAAATTGAATATTTAAAAATTATAGCCTAAAAAGCAATTTTACAACTCCACCTCTAGTAAATGGTAAAATGATTTTTTTTGAAAAGTTGGAAAATATAAGAAACAAAGGGATGTTTTCCTTATAATGTAAACAGTTCACATAAATCAAGAAGAAAACATTTTCCCCTACTTCAAAGAAAAATGGGTTACGGAAGTGAAAAATCCAATTCACATTAGAAGTCAAATTGGTCATGTGACAAACATTCACCTTTCCAATAATCAAATGAAAGCAAATCTGGCCAGGTACGGTTGCTCACGCTTGCAATCCCAGCACTTTGGGAAGCTGAGGGGGGCAGATCACCAGAGGTCAGGAGTTCGAGACCAGCTTGGCCAACATGGTGAAGCCCCATCTCTACTAAAAATACAAAAAGTAGCCGGCGTGGTAGTGGGCAGGGATTGGTTGGGGGTGGAGGGGCTGGGGTTGGAGGGGTTGGTGTCTCTCTGTGTTGCCCAGGCTGGTCTGGAACTCCTGGGCTCAAACAGTATTTCTTAGATTATTCAGTATCTTATAGAGAACTTTTTTTTTAAGGTTTAAAAATCATTCAGTATCCTATAGAGAAGTTTCTTTAAGGTTTAGGAACTAGAGAAGTGGTGAAAGAATTCATATGTACTTTACTCATGAACAAAGTAAAGTTCATTTCTCTTTTTTTGTTTGGGCTGTCAGGAAACAATTTTTAGCCCAACTCAAACAACTGAGTAAGATACTGCATCCATCCAATTCCTATATTAACCTTTTCCCCTTTCACAATTCCTTCTCTTCCTAGTAATCTTTTTTTATTGGCCTTGCTTTTTAAAAATTAAAAATGTTTTGTTTTACTATATTCTTATGTATTTATAAACTGCTTCAAATCTCAAATCCCTTGTGGGTTGTGAACCTAAGTAACAAACAGAAAAGTCTCTAAAATAAAAGTTATGTTTTGAGAATGGAGCATTTCAATGGGAAAACAAATGCCATAGTACACTATGTGCATATTCAAGAAGGCAAAGGAAGCCAAAGGGTTTTAAAGGAAAAAAAAATGAGGATGATTACATACTTCTTTTGAAATAATTCCCTTGGCTACAAAGGTCAATAACGGGTGACCTCAGTTGAAGGTTGGACAGACAGTTTCTGGGCAGACATCCTTGCAGAGGCTTTTTTTGTATAAGGTTGTGATGGTCTTTATGGTTTTTGCAGTCTTTGTTTTCAGGCGTACAAGCATGAGTACCCTCTCTTCATGTCCTTCCATGGTTCTAGTTGTCAGAGATTTGTTTGTTACCCTACTGCAGTAAGTACTGATTGGTTGCTGGCTCAAAACAAAATATCTACTTATAAAAAAATGACAAGAACAACTGAAGACAATTTTTGTAAGCAATGTTGTATTCTACATTCATTTTGCTTTGTGTTTTAATTTTTTTCATTGACAAATAATAATTGTCATTCATGTCAGACATAGTGATGCTTCCATACTTATGGAATGTAGTGATCAGGTTAGGGTAATTAGCATATCCGTCATCCAACTGAGGACATCTAGAATGGCCCAGGTATTAAACCGTATTAGTAAATGATTAATTTTCTGAAGACGTGCTGAGTATTATGATTATGAAAAAATGTCCTTAGAGATGCACACTTAAGTACGTAGGGGTGTGGTGTCTTATCTGCAGATTTAGGATGATTCATCAAAAAAAAATTTACAAGCATTTATAGAAAGATAAAAAAAAAATGGCAAAATGTGTTGAATTGTTGAGTCTGGGTTTTAAATAGTATTATTGAATTAGGGTGGATAAACCTAGAGTCTGTTGCTATTTTTGCCAGTTATTATGACATCACCAGAAAGCTGGAATTACTCCCGTGCCAAAGCACCCTCAAATCTCGCGATACTACGGCCTTAGTGGCGCGCGAAACGCGGGAGGCGGGGCTGAGGCGAAAACGACTGACTTCCGGCCAGGCCGTTGTCTGGGTGGCGCGGTCGAGTCATCGCTCGGCCTTACTGCTTGGTTCTCCGGTCCCTCCCCGCGCCCTGGCGCGGGGGGTCGACCAACCAAGTGAGGCGGGAGGCGACTCTGACCTTCCCTCCATTTCGTTTTGGCCAGTGCCGGAAGCTACCAGCCCTGGGGCCTGGGATACTGGGAGCCCTTGAGGCCCTGTCTGAGTGGCCGGGGCCTACTGCGGCCCGCCGCCGGGCCTCATGAGGCATAGCCTGACCAAGCTGCTGGCAGCCTCGGGCAGCAACTCCCCAACCCGCAGTGAGAGCCCGGCGCCGGCTGCAACCTGCTCGCTGCCTTCGGACCTGACTCGGGCGGCGGCGGCGGCGGGGGAGAAGGAGACGGCAGCGGCCGGATCTCCCGGCCGCAAGCAGCCGCTTGGCGACGAGGGCGAGTTCGAAGCCAGGAGGGGGAGCCGCGGCGGAGTGGCCGTGCGCGCGCCCTCGCCCGAGGAGATGGAGGAGGAGGCGATCGCCAGCCTCCCGGGGGAAGAGACGGAGGATATGGACTTTCTGTCTGGGCTGGAATTGGCGGATCTCCTGGACCCCAGGCAGCCGGACTGGCACCTGGAGCCCGGGCTTAGCTCGCCGGGGCCTCTCTCCTCCTCTGGTGGAGGCTCGGATAGCGGCGGCCTGTGGAGAGGGGACGACGACGACGAGGCCGCTGCAGCTGAAATGCAGCGCTTCTCTGACCTGCTGCAGAGGCTGTTAAACGGTATCGGAGGCTGCAGCAGCAGCAGTGACAGTGGTAGCGCCGAAAAGAGGCGGAGAAAGTCCCCCGGAGCAGGCGGCGGTGGTGGCGGCAGCGGCAGCGACAACAACCAGGCGGCGACAAAGAGTCCCCGGAAAGCGGCGGCGGCCGCTGCCCGCCTTAATCGGCTAAAGAAGAAGGAGTACGTGATGGGGCTAGAGAGTAGAGTCCGGGGTCTGGCAGCCGAGAACCAGGAGCTGCGGGCCGAGAATCGGGAGCTGGGCAAACGCGTACAGGCACTGCAGGAGGAGAGTCGCTACCTACGGGCAGTCTTAGCCAACGAGACTGGACTGGCTCGCTTGCTGAGCCGGCTGAGCGGCGTGGGACTGCGGCTGACCACCTCGCTCTTCAGAGACTCGCCCGCCGGTGACCACGACTACGCACTGCCGGTGGGAAAGCAGCAGCAGGACCTACTGGAGGACGACGACTCGGCGGGAGGAGTCTGTCTCCATGTGGACAAGGATAAGGTGTCGGTGGAGTTCTGCTCGGCGTGCGCCCGGAAGGCGTCGTCTTCTCTTAAAATGTAGGGTCAAGTAATCTGCTCTTTATCCGCGTTTACCCCTTTCAACTCCCTTACACCATGTCAAACACCTTAGTGGGACATCTTCACCGGACACATTTCAGAGGAGAAAAAAAAGTAGTATTGAATCTTAAAGTGTTTAGCTAAAAGCATGAATGTGACACAGTAACCAACTCCTAATGATAACATGTGACTATTAAATCTCTCTGACAGTTTCTTTTTTAGGTGATTTCCTTCCTGCCAGGCTCCGTTGTAGGGGTTACAGAACAGTCGTTCCCGCCTCACAACCTGGTAAGGATCCATCTCTTCACGTAACGCTCATGCTCTGCTGCTTAGTCTACTTTAATGGGCAACATCTCAATATGTGTGTGTGTGTGTGATTTTTTTTTTTTTTCCCTGTTTTGGAAGGTGGGAGGGAAACTAATTTGGGCCCTGTCCACCCTGGAAACAGACTTGTGCTGGTCAAGAATGTATTTTAAGATGCCTCTTCTGGTTGAAATAGCTATTAATGTGTCCCCTTATTCAGACTTGCGTGTACCTAGCTCTTCTGTCCCCAGTGTGGACATGGCCTTGGATGACATCGATTCCAACTGTACACTGAAAGCTGCTTATAGAGATACAGTTTGGAGACAGTGAAACAGGTGAAGTTGAATGGAAGTTCCGAGTTGTACAAGGTGCAAATTGGAATTCCTATTTTAGGGCAACTTTTCAGAGGTTGACAATAAGTGTTTGGGGCATGCACAAATGTGATATTTTGCTGGAGGTGACAGGTATCTCTTAAATATTCAACAATGCCTTTTAGTTTTCAGTAGGAGATATAGAAAGTCTATTCAGAGTAACAGATTTTAATATCTCACCGTTAAAGAAGTTGGAAATTAACATGCATACCAGACTCCTGTGTTTTAGTTAGTTGGAGAATGAGAATGGTTAATGTTTCTTTGAGGACCAGCAGTGATTACCCTATCACTGAGTATGAATAACTTGTTGAACATCTTTATTTTTGTTGTATTAAAATTTTAGGTTAAATTTATATATGTACGATTAGATATTGAAGGTTGTGAAATGTGAATGAAAACGTGTAAAGTGAGGCTTCACAAAGAATCTTATTCTCTGTATTTCAAAAGTATTTGTCCTGTTTAAAAATAATGTTTAAAATTCAGTGGTTCTGGCCACTAAAATGACACGATTGGCGCTATTTCCCCAAAGGTGGGATTTATTCTTCCCTTAAATATGTTAACCAGTTGTATAAATTGAGTTATGGTGTCCTTCACTGTAAGAGGCATTAAGAAATTCTTTGTGAAACATCACTGCTTGATAAAGTATATACGTATTTAGCATCCTTGTTTTTCTTTGTGCTAAAGTGGATACAGCTGTTGGGGCAGAAGAGACGGGACCAGCTGCTGGCCACATTTCCTGCTTTATTTTAAAAGGTAGTATAAGAAATGAGGAAAAAGAGGTAATAACAGGGCTTCTGCTGTCTTTTCTTTTTAAAATGTTCATAATTAAAAACTATTTTCCAGCAGTCCAAAGATGTAAGTTATCTTACACATAAAATGTCTTGCTGTTAATTGGTTATGCAAATGGAATCCTTGTTCTTGCACAACTGTAAATGTTTTGTTGCTAGATAATACGATTTGAGACCTAAATTGGTCTTTGGTTTCCAGTGCATCATAGCACATTTTGTAAAATCATCTACTGCACTTGAGCATGAATGGGTAGTAGCCAAACTCACAACTTGGAGTGATGAACCTGCTTATACCTAAGGGCAGGAGCAAGCCCCTCACAATGCAGCTGCATGGATTTTTAGTGCCTACTGAATTTTTTCTATATATATATACATATATATATATATATATATATAAACCAAAAGTAGTTGGAAAGATTATTTGAAATGACTAATTTGTGCTATCTTTATGAAATATGTTAAATGTAGCTTTTTTGAAACAGAAGCCTTGAATTGAAATTTAATACTTGAACATTTTGTATATATTTCTTTGTATATAATTTTGTGCAGTACCAATGACAAAAATATGATGTCATAATAAAACCAGGTTTGTTGATCTTTTAGTTATGGGCTCAAAGAATTTATTCATCTCTAACATGACATTGGAAAATAATGGATGAAAATAGGAAAAATGATTGTTGTTAATGCTGACTGTGGGTCTTAAAAGGTTCTGGAAAGCAGTAAGTTCATTTTTCTAAAAACTATACCATTCTCTTGGAATATTCTTCTTTACGTCAATACTTTTACTGCATTATTTGGAGTTGTGGGCTGGGGAGAAAAAGTAGTCAAAGCTTTCTGAATTGAGATGCTTTGAAATTCCAAGTGTAGATTTTTAGAATGTCATTTTATAAATGGCAGTTTTTGGAATTCCTTGATTAAGAACTTTTGAAAATGGAAAGATTAGTATGGCCTATTTTTAAAGCTGCTGTGTTAGGTTCCTTATGTTTTATTAACTGTCTTTTCTCAGTTTCCATTTCATTGGGTTTTTTTTTTTTTTTTTTTTTTTTTTTTTTTTTTACTTAGTGATTTTTTTCATTTTTTTACATCAACTTCATGGTCTTGTTTTTACATGGTAATTGCATGTATTTAGGATCTAATAGGGGCTTTAAATAAATTTGGTCATATTTATGTGTAAGCACATTTTACTGTAAATGTTTGGGTTTCTGAACTTAAACAGATGTTTATTTCAGTATGTAGTAAACAATATCTTAAAGTGTCTGATTCACTACTTGTTAATTAAAAAAGTTATGATTAATGTGAAACTGTTGTCTTACTATTTTTAGAAAATTGTGTTCTGGATGGTTAGCACATGGATAAAGGAGATTTCTGGAATATAAAATGGATTGTTTTTGAAATTTCTAGGTTTGGCTCTATTTACTGTAATAGTTGAAAACAACTTAGTATTTGGGCGATCCTTTTGTCTTCTAAATGTGCCTCTATGGTAAAATGATACAGAACTAGACTAAAGATAGAGCTTTTGAGTATTTGTCTTTGATGGTGGAGGAATTCATACATTAATTGAACTAACACATCATATTTTGACCTACTGTTTCTATCATATTGACTTACTGTTTCTGCACTTCCATGACCAGAATTATCTTAAAAAGTCCGCTTTTGTTAAAATGTAGTCTCACCTCTGATATAATCCAACAAAAAGTGTTCGAAATATTTTAAATATTTGTGCATTTTATAATCACTAAATTAATCTCTTTCTCTTCTCTTTAAACAGCTTAGCAGTGTCTGCAAAAACGAATCTTTTCCTACAACCTGTTAACTGACTGGACTGATGGTAACAAAGTAATTGTGAGAGCCATGTCGGTCAAAAATTTGGCATCTGCTGAAAAAAATGAATGCCATTTTCAAGTTCCCAAATTACTTCTATACTGATTTCACTTTCCAGAAATGGAGATATGAAAAGATTCTCTGGAATCCTTGAAAGACTTAATAGAGATTGATGAGACTAAGTTAATCTTGGAACAAAATTACACCTTTTTTGTCTTTCATGGGAGTGATACTCAGTTCTTTGCATATCTTTAAAAAATTGTAACTGTTGGGGGAATTACAGTATTTCATCAAGAAATTAATTAGAGTTTTTACATAATCAAGAGCACATTCTATGGAATTATATTTAGTGGACTAGAATCACATAAGCAGGCCATCAGTGATCACAAGGCCTATGAGTTTGTGTTTATTTCCTGAACATGAGAGCTAATTTGGAGTACAGACACCCTGCTGAGTAGAATATGAAAGTTTATGTAAAGTTCTGAACTATGAGTAGTCCTTTTAAATAGCTGCATTGATTTGTATATCTTTGAAAAAGTTGATTATTATTAAATGTGTGGGTAGTTAATTGCAATTTAGGTTAACAACCAGGATGTGTAGATTCTGAGGTTTTGGCTTCTTGAGCTTTCTCTTAAGTACTCAACACTGTTTTTTTTTTTTTGTTTTTTTTGTTTTTTTTTTTTATTTTTTTTTTTTTTTTTTTTTTTTTTTTTTTTTTTTTTTTTTTTTTTTTGAGGTTTCTAATTAATGGTATGCTAGTTTCTACTGTTTTATATAAAACTTTATCTAGTGTTGTATAAGGGCTTTAGTATTCTGGATGATGGGAGTGGCTTTTTTGTGGCATATGGTTGTTTTACCTAATTGAAATATTTTTTCAGTTTATTACAAGTGTGAAAAAACACTTAAAACTCTGGATTGTTTTATTTCATTTTTGTTGGATTATGTTAATACATTACTTCACCTGGTTTAGATTGAGTCATTTTACCTTACTCATTTGGGAAATGTGCAGATGATAGAAGAGGAATTTGGGTAGGAGACAGGCTGTTACTTCATAATAAACAGCTGGTTATTATATTATTCAAAATTTACTAAAACGAGTCAGTTTCTAATAACTTTAAGCGTGTTCATTGCCTGTGAAGCCAGGCAACAAGTATTCCCACTGTCTTAATTAAAACTTAAGTGCTGATGTTCCTTATAGTGCAGCTGGTTATAATTCCAGAACCAAAGGCACCAACGTTATTTGGTGACCTTAACTACTACTTTGATAGAACAGACTGGGTAATTATGAGTCATCTTTTTAATATGTGATTCCTAGTTCAGCATTTTGAATGTGTAGTTAAGGTCTCACTGATTTAGTAACATTTTAAAGCTAAATAATCTGATGACTCTTGAAAGTTTAATTGGTAGTATGACATTTGTAAGTGCTTTTTTCTCCCAGACTCTCCTCAATGTTTAAATTTTTTGCTGTTTTTTAAATTTACTTACCATCAAAGCTGGGGATCAAAAACGGGAATTCTTCCATTAGAAATTTGTAGTGTTATGTTTGGCCAGCACAGTATTTTTCACATTTGAATTTCAGTACCTTTATGTGTAGCCTCAGTAATCACTCAACACCAGTCACTCTTTATTGTCTTATAATACCCTATAATTTTTGTTGACTGAAAAGATATTTTGCTGTTTTCACAGTGAACTAATTGAAAAGTATAGTTACTGTGTTTTAAATATTTGTGTAGTTCTGTTAATATACTGATTTGAATTTTATTTAGCTCAACTTCCTTTAATGTCTGCCTTCAAATTTTGTCTTTGCTGTTTACCCACTGAGGTCAGTTTCCTAGACCCCTCTGGCTCTTAGTGTACTATAGTTTGGGCTTTATAAAATATATTAATGTATTAATTTAACGTGAGCCCTCTTTTTATTTAAAGCCAAATAACTACACAAAGTAAATTATAAAAGATTTAAATAGTTTGTCTACTGGAACTGGACTGAAATATTAAAAATTGATTGAGGGTAGTTTACTTCAGGTGTTAGCTACAAATGACTAAATGCCCTTAAGTAATTCAGATAACCTGCCCTCCAAACAAAAATTCTGGCAAAGTAAATTTGTAGCAACAGACTTAACATGCTTTATTGTTTATGTTGCCCATTTCTACTAATTGAAACGATAATTTAAAAATATGTGGCAGACGACAGAGATTAGAAATACTTTTTAGGTACAGAAACCATTGTAAACTCATCCCCATTTATAAATGGTATTATGCTAGAGAGTAATTAGGCTAGGTATGTTTAAGGATAAGGAATGAAACTTTGTGCTCAGTTATCAAAGAACTTAGTTATATCATTGGGCTTTGAATTATCTAAGTTGATTACACCATTCTGTATTAAGGAGTCTAACACTGTAGTTGGGTTAACATCAGAAGTTACTTTTAATTCATTGTTTTTTCACTGTGATGAGTAGAACTCTGCCTTAAAGTGACAGAATGTAGGTATGGATGATTTGGAGTTGGAGCTTTTCATCTTGATATTTTAGCTTGTAAAATCAATAGCTATATTGTTTTGCCCTTTAAATGTTAATATATCTATATATCTTTCTTTCCCTAGTTGTGAAAGCAAAGCATATTTTTTATAGAAAACTGAGAATATCCAGAAAGGAATCAAGAAGAAATGAAAAATTACCCTATAACTCTATAAGCCGTAGAATATCCACAGTAAACATTTTGGCATGCTTCCTTTCAGTCTCTTTTGTGCATATAGATTCTTCTGCCTCATAATTGAGATCATTTCTTATATAAATAAGTTTGGTAGATAATACATTTTATGTGCCTGTTGAAAGAAAAATTCATCTTTGCTTTCTGAAAAACATTGTATTTTGTTAATTTCACTTGAGTTTTTCATCTGTTGTAGCACTGCTTTATATTTTTCTTTAAACAGAAGCTAAAGGCCTGTTTCACTCACAAAGATGCCTTTTCTAAATTATTATATGTAATTTTAAGTAGCGTAAGATTACTTAACAGGTATGCCATTAAGTAATAGTTAAGAGCTTCATGAATAATCTTGGATGCCACTTAAAATTTTGTTTGGAACTTTTCTGTGATGATTAGCTTGCTTCATAAGAAAGTGTTAATTTAGATCTATGGTGTCCAATACTGTAACCATTAGTCACATGGCTGAAAATTTAAAATGGATTAAAATTTAAAACTCAGTTATTCAGTTGCACTAGCCACATTTGAGGTGCCCAGCAAGTACATAGGCTAGTGGCTAACATACAGTGCAGATATAAAGTATTTCCATCATCACAGAAAGCTTTGTTGGACAATGCTGATTCAGTTGCTGTCACAAAAGAAAATGGTTTAGAGAACTAGGATGAGAAACGTTAGAACAGAAGAAAGCACACAAAAATTTAAATGATCGTAGGATATGAATCAACTAGGGTATTTCATTGAGGGTCAGAGAGATTAATTTTGTGATTCTAAATAAGTGGAAGCTTGAAAGGCTACCTAAACATTTTAATAAAGCTTTCCAAATAAGGTGACTCTAAATAGCTAGGTCTATATCATAATAGCTGAAGCTGAGCCTGAATGATTCAAGAAGATGACTGATCCTCTGAGGAAGGTTGTTAAATCAGTTCTAAGAATTTATGGATTAATAATAATTTGAATTGAGAAAGTGAATTATAAGTAACATTTGGTATAGTGTATTTATACTTTTTTTTTTTTTTAAATTTTTATTCCTGTTTGGCATTATGAAGTCTTCAGTGTAAAATACTATATAATTTTTTTTTCTTGTGTTACCAAACTCAATGCCTAAAAGTAGAGCAAGCAAGGTACAAGAGACAATATTGGGCAGACTAGTAAAGTTAAACTTGTTTAAGTGGGTAGCTTTTATTTAGATTTACACTTTTGTTGCCCTGTGTAGCCTTTGTTGTAGGTCCCAGAATTATATGTTGATGAATAACATTATACATAAACTGTTTTTACTATTTTATTTTTGTGTACATATTTGTTTAAAATCAGTGATTTTCTTGGCCAGGTTCAGGTAAGTGAAGGGCCTTTATAAATAGTTGATATTGTTTAGACCCAAGGTATGCTGAAAACACAGTCTGCAGCAGAATAGGAAATAACATCTTTCTAAAGACAGGCTTAGAAACTCTAAGCCAGTAACTTAAGATGTTCCCTTTGTTTGGTAACAGAGCTGTTTCATACCTGTAAGAAAACATTGAGATAGTTATATAAGATTGTTGTATCAAGTGGCAAACCTATCTATCTATGATATATATGAGTCCTGGAAGTCTTATGATAAAACTAGAGATTAAGGTAAAAGTCTTCAGTGTCTAGTAATCCCAAAAACTGTTTTCTTTTGTTTCTTTATCTACTTTGCTTCAAGGCTATATTGTAAATCGCTAATGCAAGAGTTCAACAGAGAATAACCAGAATTATTTTAGAGTAGAAGACTACTAATATAACAGCTAGACATTTTCTGATGGAATTTTCCTTTATTGCAAGTGTTCATCAAACTCATCCAAGAAAATTGTTTGTATGATATAGGTTTCAAAGCTGTTTGCAGCTTTGTAGTTAGTTTAGTATTCAGTACACAAAGTAAGGCTAATAGCCTGAACTACACACCAAGTAGAACTGTTTGAAATTCTTGAGAAGTAAAATTTGATTATAAGAAAAACATATGTCTTGCTAACTTCTAATCAAGAGGGTAACACTTCCTTTGGCCTAAATGCCTTAAAAACAGAAAATATATTTGCTGCTTTAAGTTGTGACTTTTATAGGTAATCACATATTATAAAAAGGTTTTCATTGATCATGAGAAAACAGTCTTACCTGGCTGCTAGGCTACCATTTATAGGTAAAGCTAAGAAAACAGGGTATAGACCACCAGCAAGAAGACCAACCAGTCCACTACGTGTTGCGGTACAGGTTTCGCAATTCATATCACCTAGGAAATAAATTAGTTCTGGAAATGAAGGTCATGATAGTCAAGCAAATATGAGTTAGAGAATGTAAGATCCTCTTCTATGTATTACAGACATTTTTCAGGCAACATAACCAAATGCAGTTCTACAAAGCATGTTAAAAGGTATAATTACTTCTATGAGTAGCTTAAAATAGCTAGGAATGATTGATAAAACTATCTTAGGAAAAAAAATTCTCTAATTTGTTCTGAACTTAGATATAATCTCTTGGTTTGGGCTGGTCCTAGCTTTCTGCACTTG